GAAAACTTGAAAGTCGAAACTCGAAAATCGCATATCGCGTTATGCAAATAGCGCATAGTGCATAGCGCAAAGCGCATAGCGCATAGCGCATAACGGATATCGCTTATCGAAAACTCGAAAATCGTATATCGCGTTATGCAAATAGCGCATAGCGCATAGTGCATAGCGCAAAGCGCATAGCGCATAGCGCATAACGGATATCGCTTATCGAAAACTCGAAAGCCGAAACTCGAAAATCGTATATCGCGTTATGCAAAAAGCGCATAGCGCATAGTGCATAGCGCATAGTGCATAGCGCATAGCGCATAGCGCTTAACGCATATCGCTTATCGAAAACTCGAAAGTCGGAACTCGAAAATCGCAGGACATGCCGTTGGAGTTCAGGCGAGTCTAGCACGCGGACCGGTCCGTGGCCAGCCTGTGGTCCGTTGCTAAGATTTCCTTCCAATTCACCCAATATCTCACGGGGCACGGGTTCCATAATACATACCTCCATAGATTTAAAATCACCGATGACGAAACTTGCCCATGTAATAACACCTCTGCACAAACACTCCAACATTTAATAGAAGACTGCCTTCGTTTCCTTAAGCGAAGAGTAGACCATCAACTCCTTTGCGGATACATGAAGATTCCGCCATACAATCTTGAAGAACTCGTGAAAAAAGAGTCTGCAATAGATTCTTTCATCCAATTTATTACATACATTATAGACAATTTAAAGTTATTTAATAATCCCATCACTCAGAACTCGTCATAACCATATTATTTACATTTATCTCACAGACTTCTACACTACTTACTATTATTATTTATTGTTTTGGTAGATTTAGACTGTATAGCATAGCATAGCATTAAAAAAAATAGTTAAGTATTTTATTTAAGTTTCTTTATATCATCTGTGTCAACATTGTCTACTTTTAATCTAATTTAGTCCTATTATAGTTTTATAAGCACTTTGCCCGGCAGCAGTTACACCGAAATATCCAATCGCTACGGAACTGCTGTCCTGGTGTTGCGTTAAGAATTTATGTTTAATTTTGTATATTATTACTATTTTTATTTTTACTGTTTAATCATGTTTATCCGCTGTGTTGTAATATTGCTTATATGTACAAAATAAAGATAATAAAAAAAACCTACCTACCTACCTACTGTAGGTATCAGTAAACAAAAGCCGCTGCTACTGCTGGAAACTGATTCAGCAGTTTCGAAGACGTTGCAAGAAACAGACCGAGTACGGTCTTATGTCACGAGAGGCCGTGTTACAAAATAATAGAAACGGAAGTAGTAGTGGGGGGTAGTTCCATAAAAGTCATTGCAACGATTGAGGCGCCCTCAGTCGTTTAGTCAGTTGCACTCAGTCGCTAACAAGCACTCTAGCCGTCAGTACAGCAGTTGCTTCAGTCGCTCAGGAGCTCAGCTCAGTACATTTCTAGTCGTCGCCACGGGGCGTTCGATATCTTTTACGTAGTTGCCTAGTGTATTCGTTTTATAATAATTCACCAGTATTGCTCATATTACCGCTCGATTATCATATTTTTTTTTTAAAAAAGTCATTCTTATCGAAATTTATAACATTAGTTTATTACTATCTTTATTGTTTATCATGTTTATCCGTTTATGTCTTAATGTTGCATATGTATTTAAAAAAAAAAGCGTAGGCCGATAAAAGTTACTTTAGTGAATTTTTAACGCCGGCGTCCAGAAACACGCTGTTTAATAGTTTTTACAACATTAGTAATAATAAAATATAGCCTATGTTACTTACAGATAAATTACCTTTCTGATTGTGAAAGAATTTTTAAAATCGTCCCAGTAGTTTTTGGGTTATTTCAATTTATACAAAAAAAAATCTTTCCTCTTTGTAATATTAGTATAGATGTAAACGACATGGTAATCGTGATTAGGGTTTAAAGTGTTGCTGGATGATAATGAAACTACGATTTACTATATTCAATTATATTTATAAATCTTGTGAATTCCTAACAATATAATACAGTAACAAATCCCTACATTTAGTATAAACTAAATGCTATTGAGATCCTCAACTCCACAAAGACGTTGATCCGTACTTTAAGAATCATCCTGTATATATTTTTTTCTTTTTGGAATCTCTGGATGGACCGAAACTGTATTTTTAGGGGTTCATTTTAATTGCTCATTTGATTAAAATTTACAGTTTAATATTTTATGTCTACTTTTATACAGTCTTTTATTCTGATAATTAATTTAACTTACAAAATCGTTTCATTATAAAAAAAAATTCTTAATTAGTCCCTTTTAATTTACAAAGTGCTGTTAGCAATAAAAGGCAGGCCGGCATCTTTGTACAATTTGTTCCAGAAACGCACGCGACGGCAGTCGGCGTCGGCGCCGGCGCCGGCGTCAACGTCGGCGTCGGCATTGGCGCTGACGTCGGCGTTAGGAAGGTTGTGGGAGATGACGTAGGGACCGCGCGCGCAGGTCGCGGTCAGCGCCGGCCATCTTTTTTTTTGCCCCAATGCTTCAGGTATGGGCTCACTGAAACAATAACAACTTACGTACTTTACGGATGCATTAATAACGATGCAATAAAAAACCAAGGAGTCTTGCTTCGGCCGCGCGGGCCGCGGGGAGAGCTATATCTCTCAAGAATATAGTCGTTACAGTCTTGGAATAACAAAAGTAATGTGTTCGAAGCTAAGAACAAAAAAATGATCTTATTGGCATTAACATAAACACTAACCCAGTTTTAGCAAAATCTGTCCACAATTTAGTGATGTTGTAGACTAGAGCTCTCAACTTCTCGCTTTCCTCGTACTCAGCTTGGTTAGCCGCGTTGTTGAACAAGTAGAAGAGTTCGTCGGCGTGGCAAGCGCCGCGCGCGGCCGCCAACCCCAGCAGTCGCTTCATGGCATTCAGCTGCGTGTCGCAGTCGAAGCGGTAGA